GAGGTGCTCAGAATACAACAGTCTAGAAGCATAAACATATAAAGATCCCCAACATATCCCTCCAAACTGGGCCAATATCCAAAAACCCTCCTTTTTAAAATGCAGGCATTGTACTTCCCCATTTCCAGGACTCAAGTCCGACTAAAATGAAAATAACCGGTTTTTCTGAATCCCTTCACTTAAAATATTACCCTGCTCACAAATCCAACAGATCGTCAGGTTTCCCAAGTACCATTCGTCTCCATTCACTCCTATTAACACGCTCACGCACGCTTGCTGGAATCCAAGCCCCTTAAACCCACAAAACCTCCTTTACCCCCTCTCTCCAACCCTTTCGAGGACGAAACCCCTACCCCGCCTTCCTTCCCCTATAGATTTTTTAAAGCTTTCCATGTCATTCTACTGTGATCCATTCTCTCTAAATGACCAAACCACCTCAACAACCCCTTTTCTGCCCCCTGACTAATACTTTTATTAACTCCACACCTTCTCCTAATTTCCACACTCCGAATTTTCTGCATAATATTTACACCACACATTGCCCTTAAACAGGGCATCTCCGCTGCCTCCACCGTCTCCTCGCTGCTGGCATTTACCCCCCAAGCTTCACAAACCCATATAAGAGTGTTGGTACTACTATACTTTCATACATTCCCTTCTTTCCCTCCATAGATAACGTTTTTTGACTCCACTTAACCTCAACGCACCACTCACCTTTTTCCCTAAATCAATTCAAAGTTTAAAACCTCATCCTTCAAAAATTCCATCCCCGACACGTCAACCCCCAAGTATCTAAAAACATTCACTTTTTCCATACCCTCTCCCCAATTTGCTACCCAAAATTTTTCTTTATCAAAATCTTTGAACCCTCATCACCTTACTTTTTTTCCTATGTTCATTTTAAAACTTTCTCCCTTTTAAACACACTTTCCCCAAAACTCATCCAAAAACCTTTGCAATTTTTTTTTTAAAATCCCCCAAGCACGTATCTTCACAAAAAGAAAACTGTGTAAATTCCCCTATTTTTGAATTTGTTTCCCCCAAAATTTTTAATTTCCCACCCCCTCCCAAAACCCCCTTTGCATTTATTCCTTTTACAACCCCATCTAAAAATTATATTAAAAAACCCCAAGGGGGACTTTACCACCCGCAAAGACCTACTTTTCCCCCGGGGAAGTGGGTCTCCCTCTCTTCTACACACCCCTAACCTGGCCTCATACCTCATAAAAACTTTTTAACAGCTTTTAAAATAACTTACCCCCTTTAATTCCATTTACTTGAAAAATCTGCCACTTTGGGGCCCCCTCTTCCACTCTATCATTTTGCCTTTTCTAAATCCAAAAAAAGCAAAAAAAATTTCCCCCTATCTTTATCTAAATACGTTTCAAATGTTAAAATGTAAACCCCTGATCTAAATCCCCTACCCACTCAAAAAAACCTCCTTCTCATCCGCAACCCCTACTTTTGTCTTACCTCAAATTTTCTTTCAATTAAAAACCCAAAACCGTACACTTTTTCCGGGTTTATACTAGTAAGCTTTTCCCTATAATTTTTACAGTTTTCTTTTGTCCCCCTTTCCTTTATATAAAGGGACTATACTTTGCTCTCTGCCAACCCCCTAGGTACCTTCCCCCTTTTTCCATACATTTTTAAAAAAAATTTACCAAACCATTTCCAACACAAAAACCCCCCCCTTTTTTAAACTTTCTGTCATGTCCCTCGGGTTCCACCCTGTTTTTCCCCCCTTTTTCTTTTTCCCGTAATGCCTCAGTACCCCCCCCCTTAAAATTTTCTGCTCTTCTTCACTCCAAAAAGATGGTATACCCCCTGACCGTGCTTAAAATTTTAATCCCTCTGTTTTTCCCTTTAACTTTTTAAAATTTCCCCTAAAAATTTTCTCGCCATCTACCCAATACCTCCCCCTCCCCCACTACTAACTCCCCTACTCTTTTTTTTAACTGACAAACCCTTTTTTTCCCCGGGCTTTTTTTAACTTGTTTAACTCACTCCCAAAATTTTTTCTTTTTTTCTTTAAAATTTCTTGACAGTGCCTTTTCCCACTCTATCATTTTGCTCCCCCTTTTGCACTCTCTCACCCACTCTCTTTCCCTTTTCTTTTATCTCCATATACTCTCTCTTCTTAAAAACACTTCTCCCTTTGTAAAACCCTCAAAGCTACCTTTTTTCCTTTTATCACCCCCTTTTACTTCATCATTCCCCCAATCCCTCCTCTTTCCTCCTGTTTCATAATAACACAAAAGAAATAAAATTTTTGATGGAAAAATTTTACAAAATTTTATGCTTCTTTAAAGTTAAGGTCTCAACGTTTCGCTAAACTTTGAGCCCTGTTTTAGCCAATTCCAATGTCCCAGTAAACCCAAAAATCATACTATTTGTAAGAAAAATATGAACATTTAACAACTTTATTCCAAAACCGTTTGGGCCTACACAGAGGCTTCTTAGTCGAATACAAAAAGAAAGGCGGGAACAGGGGGAAAATGTGAAGACGATGTAACCCAGTCCATCACCCCTTAAAGTCGTAAAATTTTGGGGTTGTCAGTCCCCGGCCGGAGAAGTTTTTAGTTCCTGACTATGGAAATGAACTTCTCCCGGCCGAGGGGGCTGACAACCTCAAATTTTTACGACTTTTTAAAGGGGGATGGACGATTAATTTGTTCCCTTTACATTCTATGTTCCTGCCACTTTTGTATTCGATGAAGAAGGCCCAATGTGTAGGGAAACGTTTCGGAAAAAAAGTTTCTAACTTTTGGGATATGTGTCTTACCTAAAAACCTGTCGGTTTTTAAACCATTTTGATGTTTATTGCTTTTTCGTTAGAACTCCCCTTTGTTTTTATCAATGAGCACCAAAAAAACCAGGCCCAATTTTCCCCCTTTCAAAAATCCCAAAAAAGTGGCAAAATTGGCAAGTTTGTCAATTTCACACTGATTTCAAAAGATTTCCAATTTTAAAAAGGGTTCAGAATAAAAAAGGGCAGACATTTCTGGGACTTAAAAAAGCAATTTCTCTGTTCATTAAGGGCATCTCCACCCCCCTTCATTTCTTTTGCTTTCCCCTTTGAACTTTTTTCTCAAAAAAAAATAGATTTACTGTTATGCAGAAAACTGCATTAGTGTAAAAATGGTATAAATAATATCAGTGCATTGTAAAAGGAAATTTTTAGAATCAAAACCCGGGTTTATGTGTATTGGATGTTACTTTTTGGGTTTTCTTTGAACATCGGCAAAAACGAACTTTTTGCTTTTTGAGCCCAATTTTAAGGACTTTTCATTGTGAAACCCTTTAAAATTTCCTCAAGTTTTTGTAATTTTTCTGTTCTATAAAATGAGACCAAGAAAAGAGAATAAAAAAACCCTAAATAAACCCTAGGGAAAAAAAAAACTGCAAAGTTGTGTTTTAAACCAAAAACACAGAGGGGTTTTTTTTTTTCTTATGCTCTGTGTGCTGCCCCTTTTTTTTTTTTTTATACTGCACACCTGACCATGAGACCCCTTCCCTTTTAAAACGCGCCTACCAACTTTCCTCTCTTGATTTAAGGCCCTAAAAAATTTTCGCGACATAGTACGGCACCAACCCTGGGAAAACAAGCCATGTTAGTATGACACCCCAAACCCCGAAAGGGTTTAAAAACTTTGAAATTTTTGGAAAAATTTTCCGACATGTTAAAAGAGTTGGCTCCAGAGAATGTTTAAAAAAAATGGGTGGATACCCCGTATTTGAAAGGGGCCCCTTGCTGTATAGCAAATTTTGGTCATAATTTGAAATCCCATATTAGCGGAATGCCCAAGGGAAAACGCCCTTTAAAACGGGGCCCCTACCCCTAAAACTTGAAATTGAGCTTAAATTAGCAGAAATATTTTTTTTTTTTTCAAAATTTTTTGAGGACAATAATCATATCACCCCGTCTAATACATGTCCAAAATGGTTTATCCAAAATTGGTTCACTAGTGCGCTGACATTATTTATACAATTACTATTAAAATAATGCATAAATATGAAATATTTTTTATAACATGAAAAAACCATCACAAATCAATATGCAGTCCTAGCCGTAGACACTTGCATGCATTGAGACAGTGAGCAGAAAGAGAACATGACCAGTCACAACAAGAAACAGCTACACACACTGAGGAAGAGATACTTGATTGAGACTTAGCAGATCTAGAATAATCACCTGTATAATGAAGAGTGAGAGCAATGCATGCGTTATTTTTGTAACTAATAGAGTCAACTCATTTTTTAGTACTGTTTCCTGTAAATTTAGTGAGCCCATTATAGGATTTTTTTTTCTTTGCAAATCTTAGCCTTGAATTTGGGGCATTTATCTTCATTTTGTAAGCAGCAATCATGTGTTTTTGGTACCGTACCTGTACAGTACAGTACCATGTTTAGACTTGGGTTTCATTCCCAAGCTGTCCCATTTTGTAGATGCAGATATTTACAAACATTCCAAAATCTGAAATCCAAAACACTTCCAGTCCCAAGCATTTCTGATAAAGGATTCTCAACTGTACCTACATTTCTGTTAGACTAACATTACTAGTACCTCCACAAATGATCATAGCCAGTGGTCTTACTAGAAAGCCTAACAAATTGCTCTTGCAAAACTTTCACCAGTACTTATATGTTGTAAATAGTTATAAGTTGTTTTAATGGTGTCTGACATGCTCTGTATAACGTGGGACTTTCTGTAATAATATCACCTTTTCTGTACAGACTGTAAACCATTCTTTATGTAAATAATGTTTACTCTACTTTTCTGCTGGTCTCTGACTGAGGTTGAAATATATGGATTCTTCCTAGTTTGTTGTATTTTCCATCTGTGTCAAGTTTACTATCTCATTAAATGTGTTTAAAAATTAATTATTGTTAATGTTCAGACAAAACTGCATTGATTGCATGGAAACATTGCAAGTGTTTGTGTTAAATGTTCTCTGGTAGAGTTGTAACTTTAAACTTACATTATCAATTCTTTGCAGGTGCTTATTATGATGGCAGATGGGTGTCCAATGCTGGACAGAAAAATTCAAAGCCACCAAGGAAACTTAGAGCTAAAGATCTTGTAGGTGAGTTGTGAATTATTCCTTCATGATGGATTTTTTTTTTTTTTGACAGAGGATTAATGAATAAAAATGTCATGTTTTTTGTAGTTAAATGTTTAATGCTAATTTATTTGTACTTCAGGCAAACATCCAGTTTCTGCTCTGATTGAAGTGTGTACAAATCGCAGCTGGCCTGCACCTGTGTTTGAAGTGGTCTCTGAGGAAGGTCCGGTTCATAAGAAGACTATCATTATGAAGGTTAGAGCTGATTAATAATCATCATCCTGTCTTAACTATTATAAATTATTTTCATTAGGCTTGTGTAGTCTTCAATATTGTGCCATTCCTTTGGAGAAACAGTACTGTACTTCTCACCTAAATTCAAGTTTGCTAACCTGAACAGGCATACTAGTGATTTTCTTTGTGCTTAACAATATTTTATAACATGTAAGCCTCACATTGTATACTATGCAAAGAAATAAAATTTGTATTTGTATTTGTTCACACACTGACCACAAAATTTCTAAACCCTTGATACCACTCACTTTGATCAAACATATTCATACATGCCTCCTGCCTACTCAGACCCCTGGAGTATACAGTAGTGCCCCATTTATATGGCAGGTTAGGTTCCAGGCTACTGCTGGAAAGCAGACATTGCCAGAAAGCAGAATGCTGTTGTTTTCCACTTATAAATACAGTGGTCCCTCAATAATCGTCTATAATCCGTTCCTGGAAGTGGGACTATTATCGAAATAGACGATTTTCGAATCAATTTTCCCCATAAGAAATAATGTAAATGCAATTAATCCGTTCTTGACACCAAGAAGTATTAAAACAAAAAAATATTTTTGCATGAAATATAGATGAAGTACATAAACAATACAGTGGCACCTGATGAATTAAACATTAACAGAATAACACTTTCCTTTATTGGTGATTCTTCTAAGTGTATGGAAGACTGGAGGAGGAGACAGATTGGATTATTTACTGTTTGGAAGGGGAATCCCCTTCTGTGGTTACTTCTTTTCTCTGTTTCTTAATGCCACTAGGACCAGCTTGAGAGTCACTGGAGTCCTGTCTCGCAAAAAAACTGTCCAGAGAGCTCTGTTTCTGGCGTCTCTTTAAAACTTCCCTAAAATGGGCCAAGACTCTGTCACTGTACAAGTTGCCAATATGACTTGCAACATCCTTCTCAGGGTGATGTTTCTCCATAAATCTTTCCATCCTACCCCACATTTCAAAAATCTCCTTAATTTCTGAACAAAGCACCTTCTTCCATCTCTCTTCCTCCTCCTCTGCAGCAAGATTCTGAGCTGTGATCTGTTGCTCTTCCTGCTGAAACTCTTGCAGCTCCTCAGTGGTTAGCTCTTCGTTATGGTCCTCCACCAACTCTTCCACATCCTCCAAACTCGCATCCAACTCCATGGAACTCCCCAGTGCGACAATAGAGTTCACAACTGACATAGGCTCATCAGGGGCTGCCTCAAACCCTTCAAAATCCCTCTTGTGGACACAATCTGGCCACAGTTTTCTCCAAGCAGAGTTCAAAGTCCTGGTAGTCACTCCCTCCCAAGCCTTACCTATAAGGCTTATACAATGGAGAATATTGAAGTGTTCTTTCCAAAAATCTCTTAGTGTCAAGTGAGTGTCTGAGGTCATATTAAAGCATCTTTCAAACATTGCTTTGGTGTAGAGTTTTTTTAAAGTTTGAAATGACTTGCTGGTCCATGGGCTGGAGGAGAGGAGTGATATTCGGAGGGCAAGAACTTTACTGTGATGAACCCAAACTCCTTCAGAATTAGGTCATCCAAGTTTGGAGGATGAGCAGGTGCATTGTCCATTACTAGGAGGCACTTGAGATCCAATTTCTTTTCCAGGAGGTAATTCTTCACCCTAGGGCCAAACACTTCATTGAACCACTCGACGAAAATTTCCCTTGTGACCCATGCCTTATTATTAGATCTCCAAAACACACACAGTTTACTCTTCATAACATTGTTTTTCTTGAACACACTGGGATTTTCAGAATGGTACACTAGTAACGGCTTTGCTTTGAAATCCCCACTAGCATTAACACAGAACATGAGCGTCAGCCTGTCTTTCATAGTCTTGTGTCCTGGCAGTGCCTTTTCTTCCTGAGTAATGTAGGTCCTCTTTGGCATTTTCTTCCAAAAGAGGCCTGTTTTGTCACAAATGAACACTTGTTAAGGTTTCAGTCCTTCAGTCTCTATGTACTCCTTGAATTCCTGCACATATTTTTCAGTCACTTTGTTGTCAGAACTGGCAGCCTCACCATGCCTTGCCACACTGTGTATGCCAGTATGCTTCTTAAATCTCTCAAACCAGCCTTTGCTGGCCTCACCCCTCACATCACCACTAGTTGCAGGCAGTTTCTTTACCAAATCGTCATGCAACTGCCTAGCCTTTTCGCAAATAAGCGACGTCATAAGACTATCTCCTGCTAATTGTTTCTCGTTTATTCACACCAATAATAACTTCTCAACATCTTCGAGTACTGGTGATCTCATTTTTGTCAGCATATTTACCCCCTTTGCAACAACAGCTTCCTTGATTTCCTTTTTCTTGGCTATTATGGAAGATATAGTTGTACGGGATTTGTTATACATCCTGGCCAGTTCACCCACACGTACGCCACTTTTATATTGTTCAGTGATGTTTTTCTTAAATTCATTTGTATTTCTCACCTTCTTTACCAAAGGCTTGGCACTAGGAGCTTTCTTTGGAGCCATGGTAGCTTATTTAGCACTTGCAAGCACTAAAATCAATGGAATGTATTATGAAATATTTCGTAGGAGCAAGTGAGGGGACCGTCGCTCACTGGTAAACAATGGCACACTGGCTGGGAAGTCAGGCCCAGGCGGCTCAGAGCGTGAGTACGCGTCCCAGACGAAGGATGATTAGCGAGTTAACGGACCATTTACGAGCCAATGTTTAGATGAAATAATGGGACTATTTCCGAAATGGACGACTCTCTGGCCGGACAGTTATTGAGGGACCACTGTACATAGAAATGCCAGATAACAAGTTTACAATAACATATACATATTAAGTTAGCAATAGAATTAGGCATTAAGAACAATAAAAAGTAAAATACACACACAGTACACCCATTACTTACCTTACAATATTTATAGTCTTAATGTAGGGTGAGAGTTGAGCTTAATTTGTAGGAAGTCAGGTTTGGGAGGTATGGTAGCCAGCCAGGTCAACCGACCCCACCCCACCCACACGTAATACAGGTTGGCCATCACTAATCCAGCAATCAGTTATCCGGTTCCATCAGTAATCCGGTACTAATTTCAGCATAATTTCAAATTTCATCATTATACTGACTCAGAAATTGTGCAGATGGTTGTAAATCCACAGCAGCAAGCCAGTGGAGGAGAAAGCAGTAATGAAAATGAGGAAGATGTAGCAGAAAGAGTCTCTGTTGATAGGTTAATTAAGTGTATTCTAACCTAAACATTCTGTAATCCGGCTAACTCACTGATCCGGCACACTGCAGGTCCCAGTGATGCCTGATTAGTGATTGCCGACCTGTATACTATAACATTTAATTAAAGTGACCCAGAGCGATATAATATATATACAGTGCATTCATTAATTACCTTAAGATATATTTGTAGTCTTAATGTAGGGTGAGAGGTGAGTTGTATTTGTAGGAATTCATGTTTGGGAAGTATGGTAGCCAGCCAAGGCAGTCCATCCCACCACGCCCACACATAATTTAACCCTTTCAGGGTCCACAGGCCCTCTTAGAGAATTGTTCTCAGGGTCCCCCAAATTTCAAAAAAAAAAAAATGATTTTTTCAGATGAAAAATAGAGAATCTTTTCCCGATCATAATGACACCAAAAGTATGAAATTTGATGGAAAACTTACAGAATTATGCTCTCACAAAGTTAGCAGTCTCGACGATGTTGACACATCAGCGATTTTGGCCACTTTGAGCCCTATTTTCGGCCAATTCCAATGTACTAGTCGACAAAAATCTTAACTATTTCGCTAGAACTCCATTTTTTCTATCGAATGAGTACAAGAAACCACCCATTTACCAATTGCAACTATCCAATACAGTGGTCAGAATTTAGCAATTTTGCCAATTTCACAATTTCACACAAATTTCAAAAGATGCCAATTTCCAAATAGTTTACTTTTGAACTTTGGTAAAAATCGAACATTTTTGCTACTTTGAGCTCAATTTCAAGGTACTTTTCATTGTAAAACCAGTCAAAACCATCTCAGTTTCTGTAACATATCTTCCATTCTATACAATGAGACCAGGAAAACTAGAATAAAACCATAAATACCATACGAGAATACAGTGCAAATTCGCTGTTTTAATCCAAAAACACGGGTGAAGTTTTTTTTTTCTCATTACGCACTGTGTGCTGCAGGATTTTTTTTTATACTGCGCACACTGACCACATAGACCCATTCTTTCATATGTAGGCCTACCAGCTTTCTCTCACTAGATTTGAAGGCGCTAAAATTAATGAGTACTAGTACGTCATGGACCCTGGTGCGTCAGCCATACTAGTATGGCCGAAACCCTGAAAGGGTTAAACAGACCAGGCGAACACGTCTGGTTTTCGCTCATACATGTTTGTATTATACCATAATACAAACACTTTACATTGTGTACAAGTTGTCTCCACATTGATACAGTAGAATAAATAAAGAGAAACACTCCCATTCTCATGTAACACCATTTTTAGATGAAATGACGCTCTGAGTGAAGGCATACGAAAGGAATAATTTTCTAGTTACTCCCAGTAATATTATAGTGTACACATTTTCTCTGATGTTGGACTATAAGTCACCTGGCTACCACAAGTCCTACAAGTCGCCTGGCTACCACATCTCATATTTATGTTAATTTATTCTACTGTGTGGTGTTTTTATCATGTTACATAGCATGTTTATTATATATGTAATTTCAAAAAATTTTATCATATATGGATTAATGGATATGTCTATATTAACATTAAATGAGCTCAAGAGATTACATATTATTATTAATATGGCATCAAGAGTAGAGAAACTTATGGTGATTTTAACCCTTTCAGGGTTTTTGACATACAGTGGACCCTCGACTAACGATATTATTTCATTTCAGACATCTGTTTGGGTGCCGTTACCGACCGAATTTGTTCCCATAAGGAATATTGTGAAATAGATTAGTCCGTTTCAGACCCCCAAAAATTCACGTACAAAAGCACTTACAAAAATACA